GGGCTCCTGGGCCACACCGCCGCCTCTCGCTGCCGCCTGGGGTCGGTCCACACTGCCGACCCCGCCTTTAAACCTCCCGGGGACCACCCAGGCCCGGAGCTAAGAGGGCCTGGGACGAAAAGGCCAGGAGTGGGGGGCTCAGGGGGGCCTTCCCGGAGGAAGGCACACCTAAGGTGAACCGTAGGACAGGGGCGGGGCGTGGAAAGGAGCTAGTCGGGGGCCCGAGGACGTGCAGCTTTTAGGAACCGCCGAGGAGTTCAGGGCCAGGGGTGGGGCAGGGAGAGGCGTGGTTGTCCGGCTAAGGATTCAGACTTATCCTCGGGCCTAGCTAGCGAGCGCACCGTGGGAACCAAGTGAATAAAGCCACCAGGCTGCTGGGTGGCTGCCCCTTCCTCAAAGGGGCTCAGGAATGTTCTCTCTGAAGCTGGGACCTCGCCCACACAGCTAGGAGAGGCGAGGACCTGCAACCCAGCACCCTTGACTGTCTCCCTTCCTTCCCTCTCTCAGGAGCGTCCCCCCAATACTCTTGGGGGGCGGGGGATACAGGCTGTCATCCACAGGCTGGAGGACATCTGGGGGAAACCCATTAGTCCCCTTGATATGGGCTCCTGGAAACCCAAGTCATGATAGAGGCCACTGGCGTCTTGGCCTCCTGTCCAGGCAGGGGACCCTGTCTGCCTGTTCCAGGAAGCCCATGACCACGCACACCCTGGGCATAAGGCCTCCGGAGTCCCTTGACTGCCTGGCATGGCACCATCTTGCCCATGCAGCTGGGAAGTATCCCTGAGTGGGCAGCCTTGTGTCTGGAGGAAGGTGGGCACCTGCCCAGGACCAGACCCAACCAAAGGCAGCCAGTGCCGCCTGCACTGCTCCATAGCCTGCTCCTGCCTATACCATCTCCACACCCCAGGAGCAGCTGGGGCGTTGGGAGCAGCTTTTAGGGGGTCCAGGGTGGGCCTTGGGTTGGTCCTATGAGACAGAAGTGAAGATGTTTACATAGAAAGGCTCCACAATAAAGTGGGGCTGTGCACTGTGTGTGTGTGTCTGGCTTCTGGGCAGCCAGGGTCTCTAGTGAGCCCTTTGTGGACAGGCCAGCTCCTTGCCCAGGCGGCCCTGGTTATAAATAGCCCACCAGCAGTGGCAAGTTGACACAGGGAGGCTGGGAATCAAGTGTGGCATTTCTAAGGCAATTCAGTCATCCAGAGCCTTGGGCCACTCTGCTGCCCAGCTGACAGAGGGCAGCCTGCCCCAGGCCTAGGGCCCCAAGAGCCTCCACTAGCCCTGCTCATCCACTGCAGCCTGTACCAGTGCCTTGGGGGCAGGTTGGAGATGGTTCTCCAATGGGCGCCCTGGGGAGCTCCGGCTAAGTACTTTGCTAGCCTAGGCTCCTCCTAGCTGTCCTGGGAGGTGGGTTATAGGTGTCTAACTTGACCAGAGCCACACACAAGTGGCCAAACCAAGAATGAAAAGGGAGTCTGAGGCCAGGGACCACCTTTTTATGAAGGATGTAGGTGCCTTGGGGGGCCCACCTCCCTCAGGAAGCCCCAGGGCTCAGGCGCTGTGGGGCCAGTGTGGCAGGCTCAGGTTTCACAGACCTTGGTTTGGCTGGTCCAGACTGGACCGTCTGCTTGGGGGGGCTTCATCACTCCCAGCCCAGGGCACCCCCCATCTTCAGGTTGGCGCAGGGCATGAGTGGAGCTAGGGAGGCCCTCAGGGGGCTGAGGGGCAGGGTGGGGTTGCTGTGGCCTCCAGTGGTGAGCATGTTCCCTCCCCCTGCTCCCAGGCAGGAAATAACCCCGTCAGCTGGGACTGGGCCCGAGACAGATTCCGAAGCTCTTGGCAGGTGTTTCTGCACATCTGGAGCTGCGTTCCCTTTGGGCCCGAGGGAGCCGCGTGAGGCTGCAGCTGTTGGCGGCCAGTCTCCACCTCCAGGCTTTGGGGATGAGCCTGAGGGGAATATTGTCCCAGGTGTGCTTGGTGGCGGGGTCTTGCTCAGCTGTGGGTAGGGTTGAGGGGCTGGCCCCTGTAGTGGCCAGGGCGGCACATCTGCCCAGAGGCTGCTGGACCAGATGCACAGACACACAGCGACACGGACGCACAGAGGGTGTACACACGCGCGCACACACATACACAGCCTCACGATACCACCACCCACACACATTGCCCCTCAGACTCCCACCCCACAAGCCATCTCAACAACCCCCTTGCTCGAATGGCTGGGGCAATTCCTATGTCAATTCTCCTTCCCACAGAATCTCTGCCTCTTGCTCCTGAGAACCCAGGTGTGGGGGCTGCTTCTAGTGAGAAGAGGCCACATACTGGGCTGTAGCTTCGTCAGATGAGTTCAGCTCTTTCAGCACCTCCCTGACCCCCTGAAGCACTCCCTCTACAGGAAGGCCACACAAGGCTCAGAGCTGCCATCTGCATCAGCCAGAGAGCAAGCGGGTCGCTGGGGGTTGCCACGGGGCCAGGACATGGAACCAGGGCCCCAGGAGGAAGGGGGCGCTCTCCCCAGCCAGCAAGTCATCAGGCAAACACGAGTGGGTTTTGCTGTGCCTGAGCTTCTGGGGTACATGCAGGTACTGGCAGTCAGGGCAGGGGCAGGCTCCGGAGGAAGGCAGGTGAGCGAGCCCATGGAGCCCCCCAGGAAAAAAGACTACCTGGGACCGAGGTCCAGCCAAACAGCAGCTTTATTAGTGATGCTGGAGTCTTTACATACCGTACAGTGAACGTGGAATATTCCCCAGGGCTCCAGGGAACGCCTCCGGGCGTCAGGACAATACTGTGTAGCACTTACACACTGGAATGATATAAAGCTTTGGTGTACAGGTTTTCAGGAGAGGACAGGTTAACACTGCGAGACAAATACTGCACACAACACTGGCTCTCAATGTGAGCTGGGTTTTTGGCCAAGGGGGTAACTTCTAAGTGATGAGACGCTGGGGCTGCTCCGGGCCCAGCGGCCGGAGGAGAGCGTCTAGGGCTGAGGCTCCGCCTGGCCCTGTCGTTTCGCCTTCATCTGCAGGTATCGCCCTTTGCCTTCCTCAAAGCGCTTCTTCTCGTCCTCGGTCTCGGGCTGTGGATCACACACAGGAAGAGGCAGGTTAGAGCCACCTGGGACCGTGGGCCCTGCCCCAGCTCCGCTGGCCTCCTGGGACTGCCTGGGTGCCAGGCACCAGCCTCAAGCCCCACCTTCCTGACAGGCGTGTCTGCCAGCTGAGGCACTTGGAGGGGCCAGGGAGTCTCCCATGGCAGAGCTCCATTGAGGGGACACCAGGCAGGAGCCCCTGAAGGGTGGCAGGGAGGCAGCCAACAGTGAACTGGCCGAGCCCTGTGGGTACCCCCACATCACCTTTCACAGCTTTGGAATCCTATGCCCGCTGCCTCTTTGGTAATGAACTTCAGCTGGAAATGTAGTTGACATGAAATGTGGGAGGGAAGGCCTACAGCAGAGCTGAGTGAGGAAAGAAAAGAGGGACCCTGCCGGGGAACCCCACATTTGCTCCACTCCCTGGAATGTCAGCTGCTCACAGTCTCTGCCCCAAAGGACAGCGGGGATAAACACTGTGCTGGCCATGTGACCTTGAGAAGGCCACTTCACTGTACCAGGAGCCATAGTGACCGCTTTGTGGATAGGGAGCCCTGGACAGAACGGATGCCCAGGAAGTGGCCACCTTGAGTCCTGTCACCGCTTCTCTGCTGCCTCCTTCCTCTGAGCAACTAGAATAGCTGGGTCACCATACTGAGAGGGTGGAGCCAACTGACCAGCCGGGAATTGGCCAAAGGCTGGGTTTTACCTAGGATGGTCCTGGTTCATGTCTGCTGACCTGGGGATGATATGAACGGCGCTCCCTTCCACTCTCAAGAATGGCCTGGCCTGGCTGCTAAGTGGTGTGGCCCCTGGGCAGAGGTCACCTCAGCAGAATTGGACACTTCCCGAGGCCCCCCCCTGTCCTGCCACAGAGCTCTCCTGCCCGCTGGGACAGGACTTCAGGTTTAAAGAGCCGTGCAAATTCCTCTGGAATGACATTTCCTTGCAACACTTTGAGGGTGTCTGAAGCCAAAGAAATGGGGCAGCTGCCCTTCGTGCACAATGACACCAGGCCCCAGCAGCTATTTTTAGACCCAAGCGTTTTACAGACAAATGGTATATTGGCCAAAGAGCGAGCAGTCAGCGGAGGATGGAATGTCAGGTTAGACCAAATACTGCCCCCTCTCAGCTTTCTCAGAAGCGCTTCTCCAAATGTCACCAGGTGTAAACTGCTGAAACCTTGCGGCCCGGAGCCAGTGGAACCTCCGGGCATTTAAAGGACGAGGATTGCGCTCCTTACAGGGGTTCTGGCTCCCGTCTGAACAGTCTTTGAAGCACACGTGGAAAATGGAGGCTTCATCAAGACACGTTACTGAAGGAGTTCCTCCTGCTGCTCTCGTTCCGTCTCTGGCTGATGTTTTTTAAAAATGAAATCTGACGCTATGCAACTTGACCTGAAACAGCCCAGGGAGAATGAAACATTCTAATTTTTAGCAGGCAGTTCCAAAGCGGGCAAGACCCCTGTGCTTCCTGGGGGACTTGGAGCTCGGCCCTGGGTGCTGAAAGCGGCCCATGAGGACAAGGCCACACCCTACTGGACACGGCTGAAGGCTTCTGTGCACATCCAGGCAGAACGTGTTAGAACAGGACTTTTCAAACCTGGGAATCTTGTAAATGTAGATTCTGGTCTAGTGGGTCTAGGGGTCGGGGGCTGAGACTCAATTCTAACAAACGTACAGGTGATGTGATGCTGCCGACCCACTGACCACTTTGAGCAGCAGGGCCCCAGACCCTCTCTATCCATTCCTGCCCCAAATGGGAGACAGCTGATGTGGCCAAGAATGCAAGGTCAAGGCCACCAGGCTGACAGCAGGGCCCTTCTCCCCCCTCCACTGCGGCTCTCACTCAACCACAGCAGCCAGAGGCCGCGGCTTAGCAGTGGTCCTTCTGGGCCTCCTGCCTGCCTCGCAGAGGACCCCACTGTGGGTGGTGCATGTGGGGTCCCGGAGCTGAGAAATGGGAGATGGTGGGCTGGATCACATGCTAAGGTTCCTCCTGGCTCTGGGGGGGCCAGCCCCTCTCTGCTTGGGGTTCTGGAGCAGGCTGGCCCTCCCTCTAGCTGGTGGTTTCCATCCTGGGGCAGGGGAAAGAAGGCAAGAGGCTTGGAAAGTAAAGGATTCTCCGAAGCAAGAATGTGTGTGTGCCTGGCCTGCTGGCAGGACGGCAGCCCTGAGGGGACAGCTGCCGGGCCCTCTGCCGAGCCCACTGGAGCCAGGTCCTGTCTAATGAGGGGACTTCCTGTTTCTCCAGCCCACTGGCGTTCCTGGAAACTGGCAGACGTGGCATTCCAGCAAGAAACTTGGTCCCCAAGTGCCTGGGTCACCAGCCAAATGCTCTTGTGGCTCAAAGGAGCTGGGAGGGCTCCAGCAGCGGTGGCAAATGGCCCTGTGGAGCTGAAGGCATGAGCTTAGGAACCATCATCAGGGCTGCCCTGGACAGCGGGCAGGGATGACCCACCTGAGGCCAGGCTCCTGAGGAGAAGGCAGCTGGCACTGGGGCTGGGGAAGGGCTGTGGGCCCAGGAGAAACCCAGGGAGCAGCCCCACCCTCGGCGGCCTTCTCTCTGTCCATCTGTCTGTCCCATTCACTCTGGTTCTTTCCCTGGAGGACGTGCCTCACTGTCCCACTGGTGTTACCACCACTCACTGTAAACCTGCAGCAGGTGTCCCCAACTCCAAAACGGAGGAGCCGCCTTTCTGATGGTTTGTGGCCAGGCGGGTTTGGAAACCTGCATGCTAACTGGCCTCTCACCATAAACAATGCCCATGGGGTCAAGGGTCTGAAAAATCTTGAAATAAATCTATTTAACTATGTTTAATCCGGCCTTTCCCAAACTGATTTGGTCACGAACCCCTTCCCTAAGGAACCCCATCTTGGGGTTGATCGAATGGGAAGTGCTACCCACATTCTCCTGCCATCAGCTTGCTGAGTGTGCCCTCAAAGCTACTGGCGCCAACAGCCCTGGGAGATACCTGGATGGGGCGGTAGCCAGTGGAGCAAGGCCAGGGCACAGGCTGGTCTTCCGGGGACCCCCACACTACATGCCCTTCCTGGGGTGGCCTCTTCGTTCTGCCCCCAAACCAGCCCAGCCCCCCCACTCTGGGCCAGTGTGGGGGACCGGTCAGACCGTTTGAATCTGGCTTCACTGCTTACCAGTCGTGAGGCCCCACGGACTCACCTACATTTCTCTCTGTAAAATGGGCCTGTATCCACCCACCCCACAGGGCTGCCATGAGGACCGAAGTCCTAGCTGTCCCCATTCAACACCAGTCATTAAAAGCCAACGCACAGAGAGAAAAAAGCCGGCACAAAGGCCCACCTCACGGGTGAGCACATTACGTGACAAGTCCAGAACACGCAAATCCAAAGAGCAGATCAGTGGCTGCCAGAGGTTGGGGGAGGGCTGGCAGCTGAGGGGTACAGTATCTCTTTCGTGATGAAAATGTTCTAAAATTGATGGGTGCACAACACTAAACAGAACTGTACTGCACGCAGTTCTATCTCAATAAAACCATTCTAAACCAAGACCACCACAAGGCGAGTGCTCTTCACAGTTCACAGACGTCAGAGGGAGGGTCAGTGTGGCAGTGCCCTCACCCAAACCCTGGCACTCGAGGGCAGCAGGGCACAGAAAACGCTCGCCGAGTTAAAACCACCGTGTGCTCTGCGGCCGTGCCTCCATTCCCTCCCTCCCCACAGCACCTCTGGCACACGCCCTGTGCAGTCACAGGGACCCTGCTTCAGGGAGCTGACCTTCTAGCTGACAACACACCAACAGCTGGGCCGATTACGCAGACATAGGGAAATGACAATAGCGTGGCCCAAAGGCGAAGAAGAACAGGGTGAGGGGCCCAGAGGGCCAGGTGCCGGCAGAGCTCCTAGGAAGGTCCCAGGGTCCTCTGTCAACAGCAAACGACGGAGCCAGAGACATGCAGGAGCCAAGCTCCCCCAGAGCAGGGCCACCTTGGAAAGGCGCAGAGGGCAGCGTCTCAGGAGCAGCTCAGCGCAGACCCTCGGGCAGTTCCTTTCACCCTGTGCCTCAGTTTCCTCATCTGTAAAGTGGGAAGAGTCTGTCCCTTCCGGGTCTATGTGGATTCAAGGAGCGGGGAGAGCACCCATGCCATCCCCAACTGGAGGCCTCAGCACGCGGTGGGCCCCATCAACTTCTAACTCCGGGTTCAGGAAGCCCCGGTTCTTGGCGGTGTCTGAGCACAAGAAAAATGCTGCATTTTTTGGTAAAAGCCTGACTATGGGAACGCTGGTCCTGCAGCAGCTGCGAGGGGAAGGCTGGAGCCCAGGGCCCGCTGGCCAGAGTCCAGGCCACTGGCAAGAATAAGCCAATGATCAAGGGCCCGTAGCGCTTAGACATACACGCTGAGATGCGTGGAGGCGACGATGTGATCTGAGATTTGCTTCCAATGAGCCTGGGTGGGGAGGCGGGCAAGGCTGGCCCCGTGCTGATAACTACATGGCAGTTCTCTCTTCGCTTTACTTCTGCATGTATTTAAACTTCCTACACTTAGTAAGAAAGGAAAGCTGACTAGACCTGTAAAGGGCCCCTCCCCGGCCCCCAGGCACAAAGGCCATAACCTTCTGGGGTGAGGGGTGGGCTGCGAATGTTCCCGTGGGAGCACCAGGGTCTGGAAGCCAGGATGGAGGGCCGGGTCTGGGGGTGAGCGAGGTGCCCCGGTGCCCGTCTATGGAGGCGCGCGCGGTCGGGGCCGTGTACCTTGCACGCCTTCCCTCCTCCCACCTGTCCCTCAAGTGCAGCTTTGACAATTCAGTCTAGCAGAGCTTTCCTGAGCTCGTCCTCTGGTCAGGCCTGAAGCCCTGCCCTTCACCACACGACCCCAACCGACTGCAGCTACTCACCCCTCAGTACCTCCAGGCCTCCAGGTGTCCCACCAAAGGCTGTGGATGCTTCTCCCACTGGTTCAGCCATTGCAGGACCCGAAGAGGGGCAGAGGCCCAGCACAGTCATTCCTG